TCCTCCCAGGCCCCGTGCTCCCAATTTAGCGCAGTGCGATTCCAGTAATGCAATTTCGGAGCTAAAGCGCATGACTGGTGCAGCGGGCTCACTAACCTGAGGTCAAAGAGCCTCCTGTGAAAATGGGCTGATTTTAAGGAACCCCAAGCGAAGGCAGTTGCAGGCTGGTGGAAGCGGCATCACGGCGAACTCGGTTTACAGCGGATGCGGCGCTGGCGTACAATTTGCTTATAATTTTTCGTGCTTAACGCGGCATTCTGTGTCTGCTAAGCATTCACAACAGGGTCTCTTCGACTGTCACTCTCTTTTGCCTTTATTTTCCCAAACACCAGCGAAAAGATACTTCTGGTTGTGAGAAATAGGCGTTTTTGCTGGGAAACACATTGTCGTTTCCGCTTCGAATCTCGCGGCCCTATCCTCCGCGGTGGCACCACTGCTGCGGCACACAAATGGGGACGTTCGCATCTGGTCAGTTAAAATCGGTAGCTGTTAAATCAGCTGCTCACTGTTCTCTTTTTGGTTCAGGCGGCATGTTGAAGCGGCAGGAGCGCAACAAGGAAAACGCACCACCGAAGGCCGGAAAGCAGAAAGCTGGCGAAGCTCGACAGGGGGTCAGTGTTGCTGCAGATTTTTAAATTTACACTGCATTTGTGAGAAGTAAGCAAACTGTGTTTTGCGGTGCAGCTTCTACTTTCCCATACAGTATCATTTCGATCTTCATGTTTTATGGTCATGCTTCCTTACCCTTTTTGTAAGCTTTCTCTTCTGTTTCAGTGCCGAACTGAGCATTCTTGGATCAGTTCAACAGCTTTTGCTGCTGCTTAGCATTCATCTTAAGACAATAATGCTCATTTTGGCGAAATTATGCCCTCTTTAAGCAAAGTCTGCGTTATCAATTTTCACAGTTATCAATTTTCCCTGGTCTGAGTTATCGATTTTCAAACCAAAAATTCCACGTGTCTGTACGTAAAAACTACTCGCATCTAGGAACTGGATTTGGAATCTTCAAACGGTACTTGGACAAGAAGCATCCCTTTAAAATTTCAACATTCTGGCTTTTCTGGTTCTAGCAGTTTTCCAGCCACAGTTTTCACATGCTCATATGTGTGACTCAAACATGCGTGAAAGTTGATGCCGCACTCTCGGGATTCCAATGGCAAGATTTTGACGTCAGTGCTTGCCTGGTTGTCCAGTTGAAACAGTCGGATATATATATATATATATATATATGTATTCAAAATTTCAATCTTCTAATTTTCTGGTTTTCGAACGCTCTTTGAGAAAAAACTTTCACGTGGTCGTATGTGAGACCTCGGCATACTTAAGAACTGAATTCCAATTTGTGAAATCCTTGCATAGGCAGAAAACATTCTCCTGAAATTTTTAGCCCCCAAAATCTTCTGGCTCGCGAAATAATGGTTTTTCTCGCCAAAACTTCCAAGGGAACGATGAAAATTTGCGAAGTTGCACGTGGGCAGAGATGCCATGATGCCACGCTAAAATTTTAGCTTCCTAACTCTTGCAGTTCACGAGACAGTTCTCCCGCTAAAACTTTCACGGAGTACCCAAAGCTGCGTGAAGGCTGGATCCAAATTTACGGGGGTCGTACGTTGGTAAGGGACATCGCCTTAAAATTTCACCAGGGGTAATAGTTTTCCTCGCCGAAACTTTCACGGGGCCGTAGGTAATACCTGGATGCGCGGGAGGGTTGAATTTAAATTTGCGGGGTCGTGTGTAGGCAGGGGGTCATCAATCTAAAATTTCAGCCCCCTGGATTCCGTGGTTCCCAAGATAATAATTTACTCGCCAAAATTTTCACGGGACCATTCATGTTATCCGCGGGCAGGAGAAAGCTGAATTTAAATTTTCTAGGTCGCATGTGGGCAGGGGACATGCCCGCAAAATTTCAGCGTTCTAGCTTCTGTGGTTCCCGTGGTAATAATTTCACCCGTAAAAACTTTTACGGGGCCGTATGCTACCCGCGGGTAGGGGGAGGCTGAATTTAAATTTACGGGATCACTCGCGGGTGGGGAACGTTCCCCTAAATTTTCAGCTTCCTAGCTTTTGTGGTTCCCGAGTTGAAAGTTGCGAGGTGGGGAACGTTCCCCTAAATTTTCAGCTTCCTAGCTTTTGTGGTTCCCGAGTTGAAAGTTGCGGTGGGGAACGTTACCCTAAATTTTCAGCTTCCTAGCTTTTGTGGTTCCCGAGTTGAAAGTTGCGGACAGTCACACGTGGGTGGGGAACATTACCCTAAATTTTCAGCTTCCTAGCTTTTGTGGTTCTCGAGTTGAAAGTTGCGGACAACTGCTGCGGACAAAAACACACACATAGACAATCCCGTTACAGTATGCGTTTTGTGCAGCTATTGCACAGTACAAAACGCATAATAGGGGAGTCGAAGCCCACTTAATTTCATTGGCTGTTAGGGCCATCGTCGCGGCCGATTGCAGCAACAAGGAAGCGGTATTCTTAACATCGCAAGCGGAATATTGTGCTGAGAGGGAGGAGTCGACATTTACAAATACAGGGATGGTGCTTTTTTCAGAGAATCAGAGGACCTGCCGCCAGTGATCTTTTCGGGAAGAGCAAAAAAATCGACTTGAACACCGCTATGCGGGATCCAGCCAGAAAGACGCTTTCCAATGTGGGAAATACAACAAGAGAAGAGAAAGAAGCGAGCAAAGATGAGATGGACTTAAAAATTCCGCCATGCGCGGGGAACACCAACCATACACTAACAGAAACATCAAGACAATCGCGCTCGATTTCACAGGAAAAGCAACGAAATCACATGACTGTTGGCAAAGTGAGTTCTTCTTTAAATGTGCAAAAATCTATAACCTCTCTGTTTACTATCCTACACAGTAACGCTAGCTGACAGGAAGATTGACCTGACAAAGAAAACGAAGCGAAAATGGCGAGATTTGGGGATGGGAATTCTGCCGTCTCCCTTTAGGAAAACGGCAACAGTTATTGTTTGTTTCAAGAAATTTAATTTTTGACGTTCTTATTATATTTTCATCACTAAATGTCTGTATTTTACCCACTAATGGTGGTAACTTACCTTCTTTAAAAGGTTTCAGCCATATCACTATTTCCAGCGCGATTTCTCGGAAATTATAGTTGTTGAGATTTTCATATTTGCTCAGGCAATTTCATTGTACTTAAAAAAATCAGTTTATTGTCTCCGAGTCGGAAGCGCACGCCTGTTATTTTGAGTATTCAGGCATTTTGTGTTTCAGGAATTGGCAGTCTTTATTCCACGAGTAACAGCTAGTGGAATGCAGTTACGTCCGATGCGCGCTTCCGCAGAAAATACCACAGCAGATAATTTTGCTGCACATAAAGAAAAGGCAAAAATACAGAAGCCATCGTCCAATGAAACAGCTGATAATGCACGGGCCCGAGATGCCCAGACTGTGAGAGTGGAAACACAGATGATAGCGGCTGAGCAACAACTAATGCCCAAGGGACAGCCAGTAACCAAGAAACACCCAAATAATTCAAATTGTGGGGATGCTTGCGATGAATATGCGGAGGACATATGGCAGTTCCTCGAGTATTTGGAAAGTCGCTACGAACTCCCACAAAATTTCTTCAGTGGATCCAAGGTGTGTACTCGTGAATATCAGAGCATGCGTGTCTAAAGTTAGCAGTTAACGCAATTGTCCAAGGGCACCATAATGATCTTTTCTCATCCTTTCATAGCTGTTGTGGATGCAGAATGGGACCACTGGTTGGGGGATAGAAGCACAAGCGTCATACGTTATGTGTTATATCAGGTTGTCAGCTGCTCTACTGTACCATATTGAAAGCTGATAAACGTCTGTGAAAACGCTTGCTGACAATCTGCGCCTGTGTGTTATTAACCCCAGCTCAGTCGCATTAGATTCAGTTCCAGTACTAAGAGAAGTTTCGCGCAGACTACTCATAGCAGTGGTTTTGTAGGGCTGATTCCGAAAGAGTTTATTTCCTCCGCCACAACGTTCAATTTATTGCTAGCTTTTAGGTCACACCGAAAATGCGTATGATAACGCTGGAGTGGTTCGCATTTTTTGCAACTACCTTCCAATTGCTGCCTGAAACGTTCCTAAGAACGGTACACCTATTCGATCGCTACATCGTGGCTCATCTGCTCGAGATCGACAAGGTTTCAATTAAGCGCATTCGCAGCAGCATGCTACCAATGCGCATTGTTACTCGCGACTGCTAGGGGCTGCTGCAACTGTTGCTACTAATTTTCTTGTTTTCCTTTAATATGTTACCTAGAGTTGTTTCCCCTAAAAAAAACATATTCAGAAAAGAGAGATATGTTTGGCAGTGCAAGACCAATATCCAGTATGGTTTGCGACGGGTTGCTTATAGCAGTTTGAGTCAAAACATGTTCACCATGCCACTGGGGTGCTCCCACAGGTCGAGCACAGTGTGCCAGGCTTTTCAGTTCTGGATTACATACCTACACTTAATATCTGCAGCCTGTGTGAGGTACATCTTCGGAAGCCATTCGACTGGTCGTGACTTCTCAGAGCTTCCATTCACTAATGCGCGGTGCCCTTCGGCAAGGCGAGCAATATGCCCAACCCATCAGATTTTTGCTTACTCTTTCTA